CTAATAGGACCTTATTCTGTTGCAAGTGCAGTGCGTAAAACACTTACTGAACAAACAAAAGCTTTAAAAAAGATTTTAGTCAGCAACAAAAATTCGCAATAATAATCGTAGAGTACTTTCGCAATGGGAATGTGGCTGCCTGAAGGCAAAGGCACCTACTAAATAGAAAACAAACGGTCACATTTGAACAAAATCAGTTGCAATGCAGGTTGGAGAACCAGCTGTCGACTGGGCCTGGGTGAAGAACCGATTCCAGAAACGATTACACATGATTTATTCTACGGAAGAGAAGTTGCTACTCCTTTTTTCGTAAAACAACGGTTACCAATTACTTTAATCACATTAAAATCGTCTTCTTTTTTAAAGAATTTATTCTTGAAAAATAAAACCTGATGCTTTGTAGTGTTCTGAAATCAAGGTTATCCTAAATCCTGAAGATGTTCGGAACCAACTAGGTAACCACTAGAAAAAATCACATCATTAGAAATTAAGTAATTGGGTTCGGAGTCGATTCCTACAATCCCTAGCTTTCAATAATTGGGAACCTAGCCGCCCAGAACTAGATCTACTATCGACTATCTAGGAGAACTAGCAGCGACATGCCAAGACCTTATCCGGGAGAGTGATCTCATTGAGAAATATTTCCGTACATCCAATCAGTCACAGGCAAGATTCTTTGTAAAACACTCGTATGTGGGTGGTTGGTGCGTGCTCCGGTGTGATTTGTTTCGTCTTTCTTATTGAACATTTATCGTCCTTATCTCACCTTCTTCTTTTTTTTATGTTTGTTACTCTCTTGTAACACCTCTAATCTTCTGGCTGTCATATGACCTTATGCAGTTGCGAGCGCTGTAAAACCTCTACTTAAAAAAAACAAAACAAAGAAAACGTATATGGGTAGTTGGCAAGTGCTCTTGTGTGGTTCCCTTCTTGTTTCCTGTCAAACATCCGTTACATTTATCTTTTCTTTTGTATTTCTCTGAACATCATTTTTTAGTAACACCTCTAATCTTCGGGACTTATATGACCTAATTGTGCTGCAAGTGCTGTAAAGCTTTTATAAAATCTAACCCTCACTGAGTCCTACTTTCAACAAGACTTTGCTTTCCTGACCCAGGGGCGCTGCATCTGTGGTGTAGCGGTTAGACACTCGTACTATCGCGCGCAGAAGACCAGAGTTTGATTCCTGAGAGGGGAGAATTTTTATAGATTGCCTCCGTCTTTCTAATGGGATAGTTTCTCCTTCTCAACCCTGGTTGATCCTGGCAAGCTGGGTCGGAAACCTTCCTCAGTAGTCTAATTATGTCGATGGCGGCGTAAAAGCACTTACATTTCGCTAGCTTAGAATTTCCAAGTCTTATCTGCTCAGTACTTCTTAGCTTTGAGCAATTTGACATTCAATTTTTGATTTCACACCATGTCAAGCTTTTTCGAATGCAATTCTTTGAATGTATTGATAACCACTCTGAATGTAGAGGAGGTCGACCATTTGTTACAAGCGTCATAAAACCAAAGATAGTCATAGGGTGCACTACCTTTGGTAAAACGAAATCACATGGACTCCTACATTATCATCGTAACTGTCCCC